GCCGGTTCTGGTAACGGGTCAGCACCCAAGCAATTCCAGTTTGAAACTGGGTCATACTTCATTTCCTAATATATAAAATGATTTTCTTTGTTTTACACCGTTTTGGTAAGGTTGATTTAATGCACTAATTAGGCAACACCATTTATACAAAGGAGTTTTAAAAAAGATATGTAATAAGTTATAAAATATTGGAATATTGGGCAATAATTAACTCCTAAATTTAGTTAAATATCCACTGACTCATCATGGGGTCCCCTTCTTTTGGTAAAAGGCACTAGAAAAAACCGGGGGAATTATACTTTTTCCAACCTTTTTGATATAGTTTTGAATCAAATTAAGTGGTATTGTTTGTGTTTTACTGAGTCCCACCACAAGAACGGACGATTTATGGCGTTTGATAAGCCATAGTTTACAGAGTTTTCCTCTGTGGGTTTTGCGTTGTTTCTCATTGTAAAAAGGTTTTCAGAAAAAAAAGAAACCAGTGTGACACGTAATTAGATATATATAAGTTTAAAAGTAGAAACGTAGGCAAAAAAGTTGGATCTTAGCTATTGGAAAATTTACTTCCGAGGGTTAGAGAAGTCATATTTTATTTTGCAAAAGTGATAATTTGCTGTTAATGGCGGCAAGCATATACTGCGAAGTTTATGAAACGGGTGATTATCTGTTAAGTGCCGATTATTTGTTATATAAGTAGTTCGGGAACCGCCTTGTCTCTTTTGCCATTTCGTGGCATACATCGCAAGGTGAGTAATAGGAAAACGACAATGTGTAGACTAGTGTACGTCAGATGGGGTCGAGAGTTTTCCCGTATTGGCCGATGGTTTCCTCTACTACTTCGTCGCAGTCTTTAGAAACAAGATGGAGATGCTGGTGTGCCATGTTTTTAAGTTGTTTCTTGAAAGCTGTTTTGTGTATTACATAATCTTGGGTCGAATAACTCGGTTTTAGATAAATCTTGCAAACAGCATGAAGCAAATGATACAATAAGAGCCATAAATTTTTGATAAGTTCATCGACAAAGGAGGATGTCTATTTTGAGAAAAAGATAAAGAGGGATCCTTTGATCAGATGTTGGCCCAAAAGAAGATTTGGGCTCAGAATGGCAATTATTATAATAAAATGAATCATTGCCTTGATGGCAATATAGTAATTGCGCATTTATCACGTGGAAATGTTGACGCCATAGTGGACATGGAGATTTGTCCAACCGTAGTGGATAAGGAGATTTGTCCAACCGTAGTGGATAAGGAGATTTGTCCAACCTTGATTGGGACTTCATTTTTTGGTAGCAATGGATGCAGATTTTGTGAAAAAGGCTGGTTTTGGTCATTTTCATGAAGATTTCTCATCTTCGATTTTCCTTTTCGTTCGAAGCAGAAGTGGCACTCGAATATCGTTTTCTTTTTATGTCAAATTTTTATTTAGAATGCGGGAATTTTCTTTTCTTATTGTTTTTATTTGGATTGGGATTTCCTCAACGTCACGAATGCTGTCGGAAAATTCCTAAAATTTTCTAATTTGTGAAGTATAGATTTTTCCCTTCTGCCTGTTATATAGTCGCTATGTAAAAAAGAAATTGTTTACAAAAGTAAGGGCCTGTTTCATCCTCCACCCAGATCATTTCATTGTATTGAACAAGTGGTTAATTCATGTAAAACAGCGTTTTTCTAAATGCAAAAGTTACGCCCATGAATAGAAAATTCAGATACCATATCACTTTTCATTTTGTTTCAGATGACAAATAAAATAATTAGAAGTGGTGCTTGCCTAACAAAAAATTAAATGCCAATAGTTTTTACATTTTTATATTACTAGTGTGCGGCTCGCCACTAAATAAAGTTTCAAAATGAATAATGAAGATAGAAACAAATTTGGGTTTTGAATCTCCCTAATGCGCTAAAATAAAAGTAAAATGAATATTTTTCAATAAAGTAAAATGTTTTTTTCTTAAATAGCAGCAAAAATGTTCAAACTACAGCTGATATTTAATGTTTTTTCTTCGTTGAAACGTAGTAAAAAGTTGCAACCAGGTTTGTTTTTGAAACGTTACGTCGTTTAACCCAGGTTTTTTCAATTTTCTCAGAAGATATAAGTTTCTTTGTACTGAGAAACACTTTCCGGTACGATACTGCATTCAAATGTACTTTCGGAGATTTTGAGGTTGCAAATAGGACAAGTTTTTCGTCAAACGCCTGCCAAACTAAATAAACAGGTTGTCCAAAGTATGGAACTATTTGTTGACATTTTGAATTTCGGCCTGGCCTAGTGGCCGCGTTGTTACCGTGCAATCATCGCGGGAAATTGGCACTGAAATAGGCACTTTCGAAATAACATTATGTTGCCATGTTTCCACCATACTTTTAAGCTTCAAGTAGGACTTCTCATGAAAAAACGAATCATCATTTCCACCCAGCACTAGTACAACTAGACATTGTTGTCTTTACGAGATAGACTGAAGATGGTTATCTTTAAGCTGAGTGGCCAAAGAACGTACAATTTGTTGATTCTGCCATTCACTGCTAGCTCCATGTGTTTCACATGGGAATCACCAATTTTCATCACCCTGAACATGAATATTGATGAACACTGTTCTCACTAGAAATCAAATGTAATTTGCGTATTTATGAACCTACTCTCTCAGATTTTCCATTCCGCCGACAGAAGGCACCCTTAAAAATTCCAAAGTATATGTTTTAATTACGAACTGGTACTTGCAAAAATTAAATTGACAAAACAAAAGCTTCAGATCAAATTATCGACCACAAAATACTCATTATTCAATATCTTATTTTCAACCTTTTTTAGAAATTAATTTAAAAACTAGTCATTTGAAATTTCGCTGTATCCTTACAATTTAAGTAATTTGGGTATTGTTTAATGTTTAAACATTACCCAAATTAGCTGGTAGGCAATTTTTTGTAAATTTGCACGCCTTGTAAATAAACAAGGTTATTCACCTTGGGTATTTCTTTGATTAAAAAGAAGAAATATCATGAAAATCAATCAACAAAATTATAAGAAAAAGTGAAATCATTAGGCTAATCATTAGAATCCGTCATAAGTTGAAAGTCATAACGTTAGTAAAAATCAAAACTTTGATAATAATCAGAATAACACAAAACACCTAATTTAGAGTTTTATATATTTAATTAATGTTGTTTGTTCTGCAAATCAGTCATAATCACAATTCAAAATGAAAAAAATAAATATGTGATATATACACATTTGTATATTTGTTTTAAAATACGACTGTGATATATACACATTCATATTTCAAAACAAACATACATACAATCGGCCATACATACCTAAACCCTTCCATACATACATACATACATACATACATACATACATACACTGCCCATACATATATACATACATATATACACCCAGCCATACATACATTGTACATACATTGACACATACATACGTACAAACTTAATACTTACACCTCATCATAATCAGACCAATTAAAGTTCGCTGACGAGGTTCAAAAAAATATTAACGAATAAACAATGTTTAATTAATAGGTTAACAATCGTCCCATAGACGATTTTTAAAAATTGAAAAATCGCAGACTATTTTTCAAACTTGAACGGTGAAGCTTAAAAACACTTATAAAGAGCATAGTGAAAAGTGAACAAAAATAATCTGAAAAGCATGATAAATTGAATCATGATAAATTAATCATGATAAATTATTTGAAATACATGACCTTCTGAATCATGAATCATGATAAATTATTTGAAATACATGAATCATGATAAATTATTTGAAATACATGACCTTATTTTTGAAAAAATTGACCTATTTTTTGAAACTGACCTAAAGTTTCAGGACATAATGGCAAACTAAACATTAAAGTGCTTTTTTGCTCTTGAAATTACTAGAACTATAAATAAGGATCACGAGAACCATAAATCATCATCATCGCCAAGATTGATGTTCATGCTTTCTAATTCGTGCTATCTAATTGGTTTCAAGATGTCTTATCAGTGTCGCTTCAAGTAGCGGATTAAAAAAGAGTGAAACTAGACAAAAATTGGATTAAACTTAGCTTTAACAATTGGTTTCATAAAGCAAACATAACTAGACCAAAGAAAAGTATTCTTAGGGAAAACAGGTGAGCATTGTAGTACGACACAGGATTTATATCTCGTGGTTTATTTGGATGGAAAGAATAGTTACTTAGCTACCTGGAGGTAGTTAATTGGCACAATAAGACTCTACGACAGTTAACTGGAAGGTCAGGATTAAATTATAGCGTTGATGGGAAATTAAGAGGATTAGAATCAAGTTGCTACCTTATAAGAGAACCTCAATCTAGCCTCAGGAAGCCCAGGCGTTAACAAGATGAGTAAATAAAGTCCTTAGGAAGTTGGTTAAATGAACTTAACTTGGATTTGAAGTGAGATTGGACCTGATCTTTGCACAATCAGAGATATCTATCTTGAATGTTACAACATAACTGAAAAAATCGGCTTTCCAAAAGAGCTTTTTGAAGTGAATTACAATTTTTTTGTTTGATGTCATCAAGTTGTTCAAATTAGACCTGGAATGAGCGTCAAAAGCTCGTTGTCTTTTTTATAAACTAGATGCGAAGTCGAATAAACATTCAAATTCAAAATGAAAATTGGTTTTTTGATGCTTTTTCTTAATTTGATAACATTGTTTTTGTAATCCAGAAGTAATGTCCTCGCGGCTAATAAGCGAATTTTTTAAAACTTAGATATAATTTGATTTTCAAGTATATAATCGTTTTGGCCTTTTTTAATAACAATTTTAAAAGCAAAAATTATAAAGCTCATTTACACCGTCTCTCATATTTGATTTTTGAACATTTGCGTTAAGAAAGCCAGTGTAGAATGGTTTTTGGTGTTCTAAAAGAGTTTTAAAAGTATTGATTGAATGATAAGTGTTTTAACAAACTGATATAGAAAAACTTGATTTTGTTTTTGCACATATAAAGTTTCAAATAATTATCAGCTATTGTTCATTTGCATCTTATTAACTGTGTAAAAACGGTAAAGCAATTAGATACGGAATCCTTATTGTAAATACGATTTTACATTTAGGGTATGATTATAACACGGCAAAATAACAGGTTTAGGCGTAAAAAACACGTAGATCATTTTATCTGATGCTAGCTTACCGTTATATTATTAGTTTTGCTCTTCATCGATATGTACTTTCCGCGCGAATGTTGGATGAAAGTTGCGTTAAACATGGCGTTCAAAAGCATGGTAAAATTTCATGTAAAAATCAGCTTGAGAGGGGCAAAAGATTATCTGTTTTTCGGTTTGTAGGATTTCAGTCCGTAGCAATCCCACTTTTGTAATACTAAATCTCCTTTTCGGTCGAAACTAAATTGAATCGGAAAAAGTTGCGCATTTGACCAACTCAGATGCAGTTTGACAGACGAAAAACGGCAACTGTTTTTTTTCTCCCTTTCAGCTGCTTGAATTGCAAAGTTTCAAGCTTTGAACGAAATTCCGACATATCTGAAGCTGTCTAGATTCAAGTACAGAGTTCTTTAATTTAACTACTTTATTGTCATTTGGTGTTCAATTCTCATTCACAAAATTTCTCATATATCCAACTTGGTACAAGTATAATAGTTGGGTACCTAAAGTTTTGATGGGTCCGGGAAGACAAATTTTTGGGCCTTAAAGTTTTCAGTAGCAGCTGTGTAATTATCGTGTTTTTATGAAAATGGTACGACGCATTGCTTTTCCAGGGACCCAACCAATCATACTTGTTAATTTCGTTATTGGTAATGTTGGTTGGAGTGATTTGGTTCTAGCCTTACTTGATTTGATCTGCATACATGTCTTCTGAGTGTAGGCTTCAATGATGTGTATTTAAATTAGAAAACATATATTGTTTTCTGCTAACTTTGAACGCATATATTTATATTTTTACCAGTTGTTAGTTCAAATTCGAAACAAGCAATTCAATTTCTATCAAACTGATTTTTTTTTTTGAAAAAATTCAGCATAATGATGTTGTTTTGCACTGTTTTGCACTGAAAAAAGTATTCAGAATCGAGTCTACAAAACGAAACGGAAGGCTCCAAAAACAATCCCATTTGTAAGAAGAAAATCTGAGCAAAGCTTACTAAATCATTTCAATTGCAGGGTCGGAATGTTTAGCATCTTTGGTGTTTGCGGAACTATTGAATATGAGAAGCTCTAGCAGACTCTATTTTCGCTTCTCAAACCTAACGGGTTCCGTTGTCAGTCTCATTGGTAGTCAGCTTCTTTAAGATGGGACTATCAAGGCATACTCGATGTCTTTTGGTCTGTCATAGAGATGGAAGATTGACTTGGAGTCGCAACCTCTCCTCTCGCATTTACTCAGAGTGCAAATACCTTCACAAAGTGTACACGACTCACGAAGTGGCGATTGATCTTAACAGAAGCAACATTTCCCGCTTCGAATCAAATCACTTGCCATCTAACAGGTTTGATCAAATTTATAATTTGCGAATTGAATCAAATCCGTATTGATGCTGTTTTCGCCAAAACATTGTTTAACCAAGAAAAGACAATTGTAGAAGTCAAGTGAATATTGAAGAAAAATCTATTTCAATGAAAAATAATGAGGATTTTCAGTATGTTTTGTTTGTTGACTTTTCGAAGCTCATTTTGGCACTACATGACTGAAGTTTTGGAGATTTGCAGTTTCAGGATCAGGTACTCAGTTGGAGTTAACAAAAAAGCTTCGAAAATTTCAAGGGCAATTAGAAAATTGATTTGGTTTTAGTCCCACAGAAGACAGACGATTCCTCGGTACCATACCCTCCCACTCTCGCACTACTAGTGGGGGAGGTGGAATAATCCAGAAGGAGGGAAGAGTGTGTTTCGGGGTAGTGGACGGTCACGCGGGACACAAGTGTGCCCAGGCTGTCAGTGGCAGACTGCTAGACTACCTCTCAGCCTCTACTCTCGCCCAGTGCAGCAATGAGGCCAATGGCGACTGGGAATCACATCGTAGGTTGTGGCTATTGCAGCTCTAGTCAAATCATATAGACGACCTTTGTAGAATTCAAAATTATGCTCAAGGTGTTGCGTTGCGTCTCTGATGAGATCTCATAGACCGTTGTCGAACTTAATGAGAGTTGTGTTTTTGAAAAGGTAGTTAAATTTTTTCAAATCCAGCTGAGCTGTTTATCCTGTATTGAAAAATGATTGGTAATTCAAGGAAGAGTTGCACTTCAGTTTCTTCCGCTCATCTCCATTCATGGAAACGCGCTATAGATGAACCTAGTTTTGTCGATACTATTTTATGAGGCGCCAAAAACAACAACGATATCACAATCAAGCCATTTGATTCCAGTTTCAGATTTGTAGATTCTTAGATTTGTAATTTGAAGTATTATTTTTTTGCATAGGCACGCGTTGGGACCTTCCTGGGGATTATCAAGAATCCAGCCTTATCAGAGACAGACATCGGCAGTCTTTACGTAGTTGGGTCACTTCATCGAGTGAAAATAAACCCTCGAGTGCAACCAGTGATGATGGGGGATTGGACGAGAGGATTTTTTCTTCTGCCTTTGAGGCCCTAGACCACCACTTGATTGAAGATGCGATGGGTGTGATATCTTCATCCATGAACAGATACGATGTAGATGGTGAGTCCAAAATAAGCTTGAATTGAACAATTTTGGGTAAACCAAGGTATGTGGACCTTGTGGGAATTTTTTCGGGATAAGTCTATGGCCATTAGAAGCAATTTTGCTGAGTTTTGACACCAAATAACGCTTTTTCGGCGAGTGTTTCCACTTAAAATATTAATATGGGATTTCAGAAAACATACGATGGATGCCTTAAAAGAATAGCAAATGGATTTTTGAGAAAATATGAAATTGAGAGCTGAAATAAGGTTTCCTTTAATAAGAAAACACCATCTTTGGAACCTTTTGGTTTTACTAAAAGTAATTATTTTTTCAATCCAGAAATTGCATATCATCAAGGTTAGTCGTTTTCTATCCTAGTTTTTGTTCAGCAGGAATGAGATGAGTTCAATTTTTCGTGTTTAACAGTTAATTAAGAGTAATGAAGGTAGTGAATTTTTTTAATAAGAGTCATGGTGATTTTTTTGTTTAGTTTTAAAGAAAAAGTCTTATAATTTGTTCACACTTAATTTTAGTTTTTCGCAGTTTGACTTGTCATTTCTTTTTAAGCTCAGTTCATTTCCATTATTAAAAGAAAGAAAAACTCCTCTATCGAACAGCAAAATTGTAAAGGCCACGAGAAGCGTGATCGAATTCGAGTTTCCAAAAACTTTATTTATTGATCAAGTTTTCTAAAATTGGGTCAAGTTTATGCAAAAAATTGTCGATCATTGTTCTAGAAAATCAAAGAGCTTTAAGGCCATTGTTTTTTTTGAAAGATTTTTTCTTGCGTTTATTACTCTTTTTTCTAGAAATCTTTATCGCTGGTAATCTTTTCTCGAAGCTAAGACTGTTTATACACTAGCGTCAGCTTAGTGTATTATTAAGAACCTTCTTTTTTTAAATCTAAGAAGCACATATTGGTGCCACTTTTGTGGCACCTTTACAGCTTTTTGATAGCATGTGCTTTGACATTCGAATAATAATGAGTTAACACAGTTGATGCACTTTTAATTCATCGAATGAACCGAAAAAAGCTACTTGTTCCAAACAAGATAACAATCAAAAAACCACGATTTCAGAACTCGATTTCAAAAAAGTTTCTTTCCGTCTCTTTTTCTATTCACTATCTTGTTTTGCAATGTTTTAGTTGTATCGCAAGTGTTGCGATGCTCCGCTTCGCATCTGTGTATTAAAATGATCTTCATCTATTTGTTGATGTTTTTTTTCAAGTCCGATATTCTATTGTGCTGTCTGTCGCCCTATTCGTCTGGTGCACTTTTACTTGCTCGATAAAATACTCCCAACTACTGTTTCAGTGATCGAGAGTGCTTTGAGTGGCGCGTGTGTGTTGACTGTGGCGGTGGATGATGAAGAAGTAGTGTGTGCGAACAGTGGGGACTGCAAAGCAGTGTTAGGCCAGCTGTCCGAAGACGGACACTCTTGGCATGCAATCCCACTCACCAACGAACACAACGCAGAAAACTCTACTGAGATACAGAGGTACTAGTTCACTGAAGTTATGTTTATACACGAGATCATAGTGTTATTTCACTTATAGACAACTTTTTTTTTACTACCGAACGCCAGGTTTTTTCAAAGTCAACTTTTAATTGTATATGTTTGCTTTTTTTGCCTTTATGGGGCTACTTTTTGACCTCTATATTTTTCTGAGATCTTTTTTCTTTTGAATAGATGGGGAGTTTGAAAATTGCTAAATTGGGATAATGAATTACGCGATATTTCTCATTTTTATTAGCGCATAGCTTGAGCGGCGAAAACATTGAGCCATGCTTCTTGGTCTGAATAATGTAGAAGTAGATGCGAAAGATATTTGCCTTGCCATTCAGAAAAAAATAATAATAATTTTTTGAATCTTTCCCCATGCGAATCTTACCCTTAGGAAGGGTAATGAAATCAAGTAGGAAAGGTAATGAAATCAAATATTAGACTTTTTCCCCGCTGGAAACTTTGTTCGAGTCTCGTAGAGTAGGAAGGAATTATGGGATAGCGTGCGTGGGTTACTTTTTTCTAGTAGATTTTCACTTACTCATAGAACGCGCGAAGAGGGCATGTCATGCGAGTTATCTTGTTAATATAATTCTATTCGGGATACAGATTCTGAAAAGAAATTTCAAACAAAGGTTCTCAGGTTCGAGAAAACTTCTCAATTTTTTGCTACTCAAAGATAATCTTGTTAATTTTTACGATGAGTTATTGCACAAAAATCACTTTTTATTGGAAATTGTATTTATTATATTTTGCTGGTCTACCGGCTGCAGACTTATACAATTTGAAAATAAAACTGAATTTTTATTCGATTTCTTTTTAATGATATCTGTAGTCAGAACACTCTGTGCTACCTGCACATCGATCGGCTAGTCGTGTTTGTCTTCTTTGTAGTAGACGGGCTTGAACTGAACTACACAATTAAATTTGTTCCAGGATATTTGACGCCCATCCTGAGTCGGAACATCCGACCATAATACAGGGCGGAAGACTGTTCGGTTCCCTGCTGCCCCTCCGAGCATTCGGAGACATGCTGTTCAAACTAGACGGGAGTAAGCTGAACAAACTTAAGCAAGTGTTCGATGTCAGAAACTTCCTCGCTAAGAGCATCACGCCGCCATACTTAAGGTCAGCAGACACATCTGTGTTTTTAAGTGTAAAAGAACGGAGTGATTTTACTTATATAGGTCTTGTCAAATTTTTTCAGGAAAAATTCTTAAAATATTTTGTGCACGCTGAAAGTTAGTTTTTCCGATTTGATTTATGATTTATTTCAATTTCACTTCATTTCCTTTGTTAAATGACGGCTAAATCCACTATCAAATAGCAAAAGTGAAAAGGTCACTATTTATTTTTTAAAATTTCCAGTGGAATAAAAAAACACCTATTGAACCAGTATTCTCTAATTGAGATAGTTTAACGAAAAAGGTGCCGGTCAGAAACAGTATTTGAAATTCGAAGAGCTTCAGTGTGATATATTTTTTCTTCGAAATTTGAAAATGTTTCAAAACGTTCAGTCAATATTCTTTCGGTTTCCTTGTTCTTTTACACTTTTCCAACTGTCTGTTGGCTATGTTTTATTATTATTTCAGAAGTGGCGATTTATGAGGGCGGTATAAGCTAAATTGGATTGCAATTAGAATTTAAAAATCTATAATGAATAAGTGACATTGCATTTTTAATCTGACGTGCCTACGAGAAGACCTTTAATGACGCTTGTCTATTGATGCTTCGTTTGCAAAGATACCCGAATTTTAAAAAATGGTTTTAAACAGGGGCGGATTTAAGGGGGGGGGGGGGGGGTATGGGGCCTTTGATACTTTTTCAGAAATCCATTTTTGGCCGACCGACCCTAAAATTTTTCTAAAGGCGCCTTTGGCGCCAATATACTAACTTTGAGGGGGAGCGCGCGCCAAAAAAAAACGCGATTTTTTTTTTGTCAAAATTTTCCAATAAGTGCCTAAAAACGCCTTTTTTGGCCTGTTTTTTTTTCAAAATTTTGCCTGCGGCGCAGACAATTTGGCCAAAATAGAGGCAAAGCAGTGCTTTGGGAGGGCTCAAAAAATCAATTTGGTCGACCTAAAAAAAAGGTCGACAAAATTTTCGAAGCTTTTTTGAAAATCCGCCCCCCCCCCCTCGAGAAAATCCTAGATCCGCCCCTGGTTTTAAATATAATTTTTAAACATATCGTCGAAAATCTTGTCACCGATCACCATCTTGAGCACAAATTCTATTTTGCACAATTTTGTTGATTCATCTTTTGCTAAAAACAACTCGTTTTATAATAGTCAATCGTACCTCTATGAAGTGAGCTTGCAATAAAAAATTTAATCCACATTTTGAATATTGCAATCTTCTTTGTAAATTAAAGCATCGACACGTTCTAAAAGGAGCTGGGATCCGAATACGGAAAACCGTCACTTTGTTGAGGGTTTGCGATAGTGAGCTGTGAACTAATTTGTGTTCTAGTGCCTCGCCGGAAATAACTAGAAGACAGATAGACCCTAAAAGAGACAAATTCCTGATTGTGGGTACAGACGGTCTATGGGACTTCGTTACTTCCCAGGTGGCAGTCGAGGTCATAGGTCAACATCTGGACTCAGCGAATGACCCCAAACCCCAATTCGGCTCAACAGTTGAAGAGCAGCACCACCAAACAGTGCACAGATTATCGGCCAATGGAGCCACTCGGCTAATGTGTCACGCAGTCGGACAATGCATGAATAGTAAAACATTGCCTTTGTTCGGCCAATTGAACGATATGATTAAAATTGCCCCAGAGGAGACGAGAAATAACAGGGACGATATAGAAGTGATAGTTGTATACTTTAGATGACGGATTAGCCCGGAGAATAACAGACGAAATGCAAATATAAACAAACTAACAGTCAACTTGAAATTAGCTATAATGTTTTAATTGCAATTTGATGCGACATTGTATCTTGATTATTTGAGTTTTGCAATTCCACAAAACTGTTCTTAAAAATTTCACACTTGCCCACTAAAATATTTTTTGTTTCAGAAATCTCATTAGACTTTCTCTGTCGAGAATAAATCGTGAAGCTCCAGCTAGACTTTGAATTACCTAATTAGTGAATCAACAAGATACATCCTGATCTTTTGATATTGATCTGTATTGAACAGCGGTTGCGCCATAATCGCAATTTTTTGGAGACATAATTGAGCCAAGTATTACAGAAATCTCCGACCACAATAGTAGAAATATTTCAAAAGTTTTTTTTTTGAAAAATGATTTTTTTGTGGTGCGATAGGAGGACCTGAACGAAAGGAAAAAGCTTAGGTGTAATCGATATTAGTACCAAATTAGGTATATTGGACGGACAACAGTTTTCTTCGAACATTGAAAAGAAAAATTTTTAAAAAATTCTCTCAATTTATTTATGTTTTTTGCTCAAATATTTTGTTGCTGACGGCGCTAAAAGAAACTTCGAAAAAAAACTTAACATGAGCTAAACTAATTTTTCGCGGCTTAACTTGTAATTGCCCTTGCGATAAGCAAGGGTATTGCAATCGGGTACTATACTGTTTTTGTTTAAATAACTTTGTTCACAGAATGGTCAAAATTAGAACTGGTTTTGCGTCTGCGGAGCACTTGGTCGGGAGGTAACGAAAACGCCTGGGACCGTAAAGGCCCTAGGTTTGCATCTAATAGGACCTATTTTTTTAATGGATTTTTTAATATTCTTCCGTTTAAAAAAAATGAAGGCCTATTACTTGCCTGCTTATGTTTTGTCGGCTTAGGTGCCACATCGTAGAATTGATTTTTTTGTTGTACGCAAGGTACACTGCAGTTGCCTTAAGTGTTTTGTTTTTTTTCCTGCTGCTTGTACCCTTACTTAAATTGATTTCGTATGTTTTTTTGTTTATTATCGCTTTAAAATTTTGTTGTGCCCAAATTATTTCGGCTTAGATTCCTAATTATTAGTTGTTTTAGTGGAAATGTATTTTCTATGCTCCTTTCTAGTTTGCACAAAATGCTACAAAAATTTTAATATAAATTATAGATTTTCATGACAAAATTTTTGTTTGGTTTCTTTTCCTTTTTCCGCTTGATAGGTTTCGGCTTAAATTAAGTCGGCTTACATTCTAGATATCGCGTCTTTCGACGAGCGAAAAATGTTTGTATGTGTGTGTGTGTGTGTGTTTTGAGTGTGTGTTGGGCTCAATGGATTTTTCAAAAAAAATCGTCTTTTGCTGAATAGGCTTCGGCCTAGATCATATCGGCTTAGTGACCTCATTTTGTTTCATATGATGAGCAAATAAAGTTAAATATGTGTGTGTGTTTTGATGTTTTGAGGGCAAACGGGCTTTATCAATTTTTTGCAATTCTTAAGTCTGTTTGCTTTTTTCAGGCTTAAAGTGTTTCTGCTAAGGTGTTTTTCGGCTTTGTTACCGCTTGGTAGTTTTTTCCAATACCAATTTCTCATTCTATTGTCTTGGCGTTTTTTTCAAACAAAACTAGCCCTATTCATTTTGATAGATCTAGTTTTTTTTGACATTTTTGTTATTTTTTCCGACTTAGGGGCTTTATTGTTTTGTATTGCAATTGGTGCGAAACTCAGCTTCGCCTCTGTGTTGAAACTTCTGTAATTCGTTAATTTACCAACTCGGTTAAAATTTCTATTTTTGGGATTGATAGTTTTCTTCCTATGTTATTTTGACCTAGTGGCCTCATATTGCATCTGACGAGCGAAAAATGTTTGTGTGTGTGTGTGTGTTTTTTGAGGGTGAAGGGGGAATTAATAATTTTTCATTTTTTGAAATTGTTTTTCAGCTTGTGTTACTTTCTTTTTTTTGGCTCAATTGATTTCGCGGCCTATATTATATCAGCTTAGCGGCCTCATATTAATTCATTTGATAAGCGAATGAATGTGTGTGTGTGTGTGTGTGTGTGTATGTGTGTGTGTGGGGGGGGGGTGTGTTTTGAGGGTCAGGGGGACCTTATAGCTTGTTATAAGTCCAGTTGATTTTTTTTCGGCTTAAACGTTTTCTGCGAAGGTCATTCTGGCTTTGTTAGCGCTTGGTAAGTTTTCTTCCGATGCTAGTGTCGATTTATAAGTGTCATGGCATTTTTTTGTTCCAAAATTAGCTTTATTCATATTCATAGATTTAGTTTTCTCGACATTTCCTAATGTTTTTTTGATTTAGCGGCTTCCTTTTTTGTATCGCTGTGTACAAGCCTATTCTTATGAGCCAACTATAAGTCTGCTTGCTCGCTCGCTGATTCTTTCTCTCCCTCTCTCTCTCGTTTTTTGCTTGAAATTAGACTAAAAATCGAAACCGGTTTATCTCGACAAAATTTTCGAAAATTTTGTCGACCTTTTTTGTTACCTCGACCGAAATGATTTTTCGAGCTCTCCCTAAGCCCGGTTTAGTCCCTGTTTTGGCCAAATTTTCTGCGCTGCAGGCAAAATTTTGAAAAATATTCCAAAAAAGGCGTTTTTAGGCACTTTTTGGAAAATTTTAACAAAAAAATCGCGTTTTTTCGGCGCGCGTTCCTCCGTCAAAATTAGTATATATTGGCGCCTTAAGAAAAATTTAAGGGTCGGTTGGCCAAAAATGGATTTCTTAAAAAGCACCAAAGGGGGACCCTTTGAGTCGGCAGGGGGTCGAATCCCTGAAAGAAAGCTAACCCCCCCCCCCCCCCCCCCCCCAAATCCGCCCCTGAAGAGCTCGGTTGTAAAAATAAATCAAATGTTAAATGAATGAAATGAGACCAATTTATCAGTTATTGATTTGAACTTCGGATTTTCACCTAGGGTTACAAACGGGTATTCTTTGAATAACCAAAACATTGTAGCTATTTAAATTAGTCTTCATGAACACAATTTTTTGTTTCTCAGACTTGGTGTTTCATGTTACTTGGACTAGGTGAAAGATATTGGTAAGTTACCCCAACAAGTTATTAACCGTGATTGACGCAAAGTTCGGCAATCATCTTGACTTTCAGGTAAAACCTGATTCTCTCTGCTAAAAGCATCATGAGTGAGTCCAACCCAAGTGCAGACATCAAATTCGGACCCGAAGTGGAGGCTTTGCTGAAGTCAAACTCCGGAGTGAGTGTGGCAGACTACGACACTGTGCTCATAGTTGCACACCTAGTGAAGATACAACTCGTCCACGTCATATCCAAGTGTGGACACTTTTGCGACATCAGAAAAGGCAGCGATGTGTTATGACTTATTTAGAAACCCCCCAGTTATGTTAAATTGCCAGAAATTAATAGTTTTAAATATAGAGAAGTCGTGTGCATTGAACTAGTTGTGTGATCGATCACTTTCCAGCGTCTTAAACAGAAACTGCAGCTCGCCTAAAATTAAGAAATAGTGCACTTGAAAACTAGATGAATTGAAATACTTAATTATTCTATTGCCTAAGTTCACATTCCACTTGTTAGAAAAATAAATAATACATCTCTGAAACTGGAAGGCAAGAATCTGGAACTGGAAGACATTCTATTCTTGCTAGTGAAAGATGAGCTCAAATTCCCAAGGATAGTGAAACACCTCATTTTCAAAGACAAGCAGGCCAAGCTGAAAGTTCCCTCCAACTTCTCAGTTGGTGATGCATCAGATCTGGGAAACCCGGCCGAGACCTCGGGGTTCGCATCTCCAGCCAGCTCCGGTAAAAATGCTACAGTATCGAAAAAGTCTCCAAATTTTTCTACTTAGTGATTGTTTCTTAGCGAGTCAGAATAGATAGTTATCAAGTGTAATGATACCATGCGAATAAGAACCGCATAGTGTTTAGCAGGGTTTTAAATTAATTCTTGAGAGATTTTCTCTGTTTAGGCAACCAAAGCAACAACTCGAACCGGGTGAACTGCATTAAGAGGTTCCTAGACACTTTTCAAATCCCACAGAACATAAGAGCCGCATGTTTCTCCACGCAATTAGACGCCGTCAAGAAGATTAGGTAGACGCTATGTTACAATAGAAGCATCCTGCCATCAGTTAAAACAGTAAAACAAGTCAGACTTCAGAGGTTCGCTTGTCGAAAAATACATACGCCGAAAACCATGTCATATAATGGCGTTCACTCCGATTGCAGAAATGTTTTAATAGCATGCAACGAATAGTTTCTTAATTTTTGAATAACGTAACAATTTTCGGAGTGATAAAATAAAAGTTTCTGACTTTCTTTTGCCATCACACAAAATCTATGATTGTCACTAAATAACTGGTGGGAGCGTCTATTGTAATCTATTGCTGAACATGAGACTGCAGCGAGAGGAGCGTCTTAGTAGCTGTATGAGTGCAGCTCAGTATGTCCAGTGGAACCAGTCCAAAGTCCCAGTGCACGCTCAGTTCAGAAGCAAAGTGAAGATTTTCTCCGAGAAACGGTACGTTCTAAACTTCACCCTACCAAAATGATTCTTTGCTCTGCAGTAAACAGGGAATTTCGAGGAATCTTTGACACATGCTGCTCGAGTTGAGCTTCCTTTTTAATCATGGGTCAAATTCGTTTTGTTCAGAGATGTCATATTTTTTAAAAACCAGAAGGCTCTTATTTATGAAGATAACATTTTTGCCATGCAAGCATGATTTTTTTTAGCTTTCGATATTATAAACTTTCACAAATTTTTCTGTTTAAACTAACAAAACACTAACCATTGCAATCATTGGAAACAATTTCTTACAAATTGGAACCTTAATAACTTGAACTTGAAGAATAAATATATATATATATATATATATATATATATATATATATATATATATATTTAATAAACTGTTATCCATTTCGTATTTTTACACCAGAGAGGTTGCGATTGTTGTGTTATGATATGTAGACTGAAGGAGCAAGACGCTAACAAAGGAAAAGACACGCCCTCCAAAATTCATCCGCATGCAATGGAGGCCATTTTGTTCCTCAGCACAGATTTGGTGGCGGAAGTAGTCGATGAAATATTTCTGCAGCGTGAACGAAGGAATGGTTCACTCGTTTCTCAGATCGCTTCTCCTGAGAACGAAAAGAGTGCTAATTGGCTCACGACTCCATTGGAACAACACGAGGCTCAAACTGTTTTGAATAAATTATCCTCGAAGTTTTCGGAGAAGTCTCAAACGGTTGTGTTGATTTGAACTTTTTTTGTTAAGTTATAAAACTGTGCAGACAATTCAAAGCCTTTACGCGCATCAATAATCAGGAAGCAAACGATTTTTTCAAAATCTCAGATGTTTTGAATTGTCTCAAAATTGATGTTGTTATTTTGTTGCTCTTTGTTGCATGGATTTTTGTAATTGATTAAATGAAGTCTTTTTTTTTTCGAGTGAGCGAGCAGGCTTACAGTCGTCAATTATAATAGCTTAAAAGCTTACAATCGTCAATTATAATAGCTTAAAAGCTTACAAAAGCTTAATTTAAGCCGTAAAAATTTAATTTTTCTGAAAGTAGTTTTTTTGATTATTTTGGCACCTTTTTGGAAACAAAAACGTCAAAAATTCAAAAAAACTGCAAAAAAAAAGTTGAATAAATTTTTGAAATTGTTTTTGATATTTTTGTAATTTAGTAGTTTTTTTTTAAATGTTTTCCATTTTTCTTATTTTAGTATGACTGTCGAATATGCTCAGGCTCTAGTTTTTGTTTCAGACCCTTTTATCACACCACGCAGAAAAAAACTACTATAATTTGAAACAAACTATAGTAGTTTTTTAAGAATATGTCGGAACATTCGGTGCTACGTGCACAGCAACCAGGTATTCTTGTTCAATTTGAATTGAATTTTGTTTCGAATAATAGGATGCAAAAATCTCATGAGATTTTTCCGATATTTGCTTTGTTATTTATATTTTGCTAGGGTCGTAAATTTTGTCATTTTCCTTTTTTTTTCGTCTACGGATTGGATTTTTTTTCATGCTGTTTTGGTTTTTCTTATAGTCAGAGTTTTTAAGAGTAATGAACGTTTCGAGTAATCTTTCATAGGTCTTGGTGACTTTTTTTTGTTTTTTTTTCATGAAAGAGATTAAAAACGCTCAATTTTAATTTTTCGCGGTATTACTTTCAGTTGCATCTGAGCTTCACTTCATGTCGTTTGTTAAAAGGAAAGCAACTTCAGTTTCGAACAGCAGAAATAAAATTTTTTGGAAAATGTCATCGACCTCTAATTTCGAAAAACGAACTTAATCATCAAAATTCACAGCAAAATATAAACATTATTGGAATAAGTGTATCAAAAAGCACCAATCATAAATTGTACGTGAAATTCAAAAGTTTTAAGGGTATATACTTTTTCAAGAAATTTCGAAAGTTGAAGTTTTTCAAAAATAAGTCGTTTTTTTTCTGTTTCCTTGCGTTCATTCTTCTTTTCCAACTGTCAGTTGGCTATGTTATAAATTGTATAATTTTTTGTTTTTCAAATTGCTGAAGAGTTTTTTCGAACCACTGAAAGTGGGGAGGAACTTTGTTTTCGGTTAAGTTTTAGTTTTTATACTTCTTTTATTTTCCACGCAAAACCAAGTACAACAAATAATCTTCGCAAGGAGTCGAATGATAAATCATATCAAAGCTCGTTCAGTCAGTATTTGAAATTCCAAGAAATCTCCCTATCTCAAAAAGTATGGTTTAAACTTTTTGATAAAACAACTGAAGCGATCGTACAGGCTCATAATACAAAAATAAGACAAAAAATTAGTATTATTCCAGGAATATTAGTAGTATAGATATACGACACTGGGATCGGGGGGGGGGGGGGGGGGGTGATCCCTACAGGGATCATTGGGTATAGATTATACCTAATGATCCCTATGTAAATATTTATACCTAATGATCCCTATGTAAAATATTTATACCTAATGATCCCTATGTAAAATATTTATTCCTAATGATCCCTATGTAAAATATTTATACCTAATGATCCCTATGTAAAATATTTATACCTAATGATCCCTATGTATAATTTTTATACCTAATGATCCCAATGTATAATTTTTATACTTAATGATCCCTATGTAAAACTTCGGTAAATTATTGAGTATTCCCACTGAACGTTGTGGAAACGGGAATGGAATTAAGTTTTGGTCGGTGCATATTTTCCCTTCTAAAGTTTGGGGGTATTGGCTTGTTTACATGTAAAAGGACGTTATATACCTATTATATGTAATAGGAAAGCACCAGATTTTGGCAGCGTAGCTTAACTGTTGGCTGCGGTGAACGATTTCCTTCAAAAATGCATGTTTTATTGCTGAATCTCAAAGAAAGGAAAATTCTTCAATTGCGGCGGCCGCCACCTCTATTTAGGTAAAAGCTAATGATCAATTTGACCGAAATAAGAATGAAAAGTTTCTTTAAGCCAAATGAAGCTAAAAAATAAGGAAAAATTTTGCAACACTGAAAACTCTAAAATAATGAAATTGGCTTGAAAATTTCGACATTTCCATTTTCCGTGTCTACAGAAGACTGAAAAATAAACGTCTGAAATCTATGACAAAAGCTTTGATTTTATAGAAAGGTTGAAAGAGCTAATAAGTTGTAGTGGGTTAAGATCTTGAAAAACGAGAACACTGATGAAAGCCAAAAGTGCCCAGAAATATTATCAAAACTTGTACCTAACTTGTTACTATAAAATTGAAGTGGAACAAAATTTCTTGGGGTCCGAGTAGAGGAAAACGCATGGCGCTCGACTCTCAGCCGAAAGGCGGCGTTTCGAAACCCGTCCGGAAATTGTACTGAAAGGAGGCAACAGTAGCTGGTATGGTGATATCCCCCCCATAGATCGATTTTGTATTTTTTCTATAGTAATCTAACTTCTCGGATTACTTTCAGTTAAAAATTTGGTAAAAATGTCAATTACTAAAAAATGTAGTGTTTAAAATGAAATTGAAAAGTGTACAAAACAGCCATATTAAATTGTTAGTTAATGGGTAAGCATGTGAGTTAGGAAACGTTTCAAAACATGATCATTTATGTAAGCAAAATCAGAAGCATCACCATTAAAGTTTTTATCATAAATCAAATGTGCAATATAAATGCAAAAAGAACCGCACATGGTAGAATTTGAGTCTTGCATGGGAAAGTTTGTCATCAATTCAGTCACCTGATGAAAATTCTCGTTCAATCGTTTATACAGATTGGTGTACTGCCAAAGAGGAAGACCGAGAGGATCAGCAAAATATAAAACATTTCTTCTGTTGCAAATTACAATCCAATGTGTCCCCGGAGAATCTGATTTTGAAGTGTTCACAATCATAAAGATATTGTTTGGGATGTGAGGTGGAAAATTGTCCGCTGCAAATACTCCAAGAAACTTATATTTCAGATGTTTACAGTTCTGAATGAGATCCTGCAACTGAATTTCATCCATTTTTAGACGGTCGAAATTGGAAGGACGTTCTTTGTAACTTTGCGGTCGGAGGTAATAAATACATTGGATGAGCGTATACCCCAAACAAAAATTTCAAGGTTTGCTGTCAACGCGTTTGAGAATTGAAGATCGAGTGAAACTGAGCAGTTAGTAAGTTCTGGATGCAAGAAGTCATGAGCTGCCTGCTGTGTGCTAGTGAGATCAAAACACATAATAAAGTGCTGTTGGTAGTTATCCAGAGTGATTCCCAGCCCGCAGTGCAACAAACCTAGCGCTGATAGTGTGTTGAAGAAGAGACGTTTATGATCTTGTGTACTGATTGGTGTACTTGCTATTGGTAAACCGTTCCGTCTCAAGGTAACTTGCTCCAATCCAAACTTTTGATAATGAAAAGGATTCGTTCGGTTTGTTCCTAGAAATGCATTATTTGTGTTCAATGCTATTATAATTTGTCTCACCGGTTCACGAGCAAAAATGTCTTCCTGTTGCCAGCTGCGCTGACCAGCTGTTGCAAGAAATGTTTTTGTAATTTCTTCTTGATATGGGTAGTTCGCAGGAGTTTTGAGCAAAGTTGATTCAATGGCAGAGAGCACATGGTCGGTCACAGTCATTTTTCTAACATATAGGTTCACTTCGAGTATTTGCAGCTTGTAATGCTTGGCAGCATCTTCAGAAATAATGAGAAAGTCTTCATGAGAACGTCTGTAGGAAAGTCTGAGGGTAACACCGCTCAACAAATGCTTGTCACATGTGAAAAAATCAACTCCAGCGGGTCCATAGAACCAAATTTCCCTCGATTCACGGACCAGTTCTCGTTGAGATGTGAAATCAGCTGCATCTATTGCAGCGGGATTGTTTTCAAAACGATATCCCTGACACTTAAGCCATGAATCCTTGGCTCCTTTGCTGTTAGAAAATTCTGTTCCAATAAAGCTTTTATGCGCAAAATTACTATTGGCATTTGAGATTTTGAGTCCATTAGCAGAGAGGGTACAGTCAGAGAAAAGGGAGTACAGGGAGTTGTTTACGAGGAACGGTGAATCAGACACAGTAGGATCAGTGTTGTCGTATCGCAGATCAGCTCCATTTGATTGCGTTACTTTGCATCGTATTTCCAAATAAATTTTTTGCAGGTCAACAAAATTATTACGGTCACCGGTGATTTCGAATTCAAGCATTGGTCCATTGGGTGAATAGACAGGTCCAATTTTTTGATCAAAAGCGTTTTCAAAAGTAATCAAAAGAGGTTGTTTTTCAAACAAATCCAGAGAGCTATGGGTAGCTTCATTGGGTAACAAATTAGCGATCATTTTTGATGTTTGAGAAAAAATCTGCTCGACTTCTCACTGGTCTGGTTTTTCTTCGAATGGTTGTTTTTCTTTTTCGAGCCCCTACTGACCTTCTTCTTCGTAATCCATTTATTGGTGTCTTTCGACGACGTCGTCTACCACCACCGAGTTGTTTTCTTGCAGTTTTTGTGACAGTGTTTTTCAATGCTTGTTTAGGAGACTTCTTTTTCATAGCGACATCAATTAGTTCTGGCGCTGCACTCATCAAAAGTTCTCTGCCCAGTTTTTTCGCAGCCGGTAGAATAACCCGTCGTGCAAACGGTATAGCAACACGACCAATACCAGCAGCCAAAGCGCCAAATCCACTGCCGCGTTGTCGGTAGTGTCCAGAGAAATGAGGAAGTGAAGCTTGCTTTGCATAATATTGTTCCATTGGTTTTCAATCAAAGCGCTTGAATTTTAGAGTCAACACAACTTTACCAGTTCCTGCAAAGGGCACTAGTCTTCCAGTTTCTGTGCGCAACTGTACCGATATTGAT